TAATACTGATCTTAATTCAAAAAAGATCCAGACATTTGCAACATACACGAAAAAACTGGAGGGTTACATGTCGCCTTTTAATGTCCTTAACTTCATTATTGCATCAGGAATTAGTTGTCCCTAGTAACTTCTAAAAGACTAACTCCTAGCACACTTGAATGGATAATGGAGAAGCGACGTAACAGAAGTGAAACATCTAGTATTTTATGTAGAAATTGATATATCTAGAGCTTGTTGCCGAAAACGAAAAAAGCTGGGAAAGGATCGGAAACAACATCAGGACCACTAGCAGGCTGGTCATTGAGAGACGTTGTCTTGGCCACAGCAATCAGCAAAAGGCTGACAGATAAACGGATGATGCTAGGGGGTGCTATGATAAAATGACAACTGACAGGAAGACAGCTGGAGGAGTGCATGGGTGGCGTACGATCTGAAACAGAATTGGCGCTAAAAGAAAATGCCAGCATTCCCGCACTAACCGCAAACTGGGGCAGCAATTTAAAGCAGCATAGGCGAAGGATGAGATGGACGATGACCGGCACGACCCGAAAGGAATCGCACAAATCATCACCACTCGGACGGCAGCGAGGTAACATGACAGGAATTATGAGTGGTAGAAAGAAGGGCATTCACTCATTCATTCATTCCAGTTGCAGTGATATGATATTTCACAAATCATAAGTGATGAAGGACACCCTGAAGCGGTCCGTGTAACGAGCGCTGTCCTCGAAATATATCTCTCGCCTGAGCCACCATGACAAAAGATAATGCCACCCAGTGATGTGTAACACCGGAGTATGAATGCACAGCACACATGCACACAAACGAAATTCCACTCCCACCACACAGTTGCAGTTTACTATGATACAGTTATCACGATCTGATTACGATGACGAATTCTTTACTAGCTCTTCAGCGGATCCAGAATCGTCAAAATGAAGTGAAAAAGGCGCGAGGCTGAGTGAATGGGTGAAAAATTCACCTGAAGAGAATAAGTCATATCAAAATCAGCCGAATGATGCTAAAATGTTTGAGCGATGAGGAAAGAAGAACCTTTCCACCCCAATACTCCCTCCATGCCAATGACTTATACTGGTAATTCGTCAACAGTATAAGTATTCAAGTGATTGAGAAACAATAGCAAAAAGCAGAAAAGGCACCAGACTTCTGCGCCCCCGCTCTTTCGTTCCTCTTCCTCCTCCTTTCCATACCTCACTGTCGCCCCCCGCTGTGAAAGTCTGTCAGATGTGCCAATACTCAAAAAAAAAAAAAAAAATCACAAACGAACAACGCGTGCATAAGCAAAAGCTAATACTGCTAAATCCAAGAACAACTAAAAACTGATTTCAAAAAGAAACTGCATGCATCAGGCTAATCTCGAAACGCATCTCTGCTGAACCACGAAGCAAAATCTGAGCAACAAACCGTCTCCCAGTTCCGCACACAGAGACACACACAAAATGCACGATAAAAAGCCATAAACTCAATAAAATTCACGACCACCGACAACACCTGGACAAACGATGCTGGGTTTTGGATGTTACTGAGAAACAGCCACAACAATTGGCCAAAAGCTCAGTCAGTTAGTCAAAAAGAAAAGCAACCTGAAAGTTTCCCATCTGCTTCTACATCCAAAATCACAAATTCATTGTCCTGAAGCAGTTCGAGGCTTCGCTCCTGATCATTCAATTCCTCCACATTTTCATCCTGTTTCTCCTAAAAACAGTAATAACTAAAAGGTACATACTGACACACTAAGTTTAATGCGACCTACAGACAAAGAATTTCGAAACACACGTTTTTAAATTAAACGATTCGCCAGGAGTGGAACTAACTATCGCATTAATATGATTTGTTTAGACGGTGAATTAACGCTGGCAAAATACAAAAAGTCAGAATCGTTTTACCATGCTTTTCTGGTAACTCCAGGAAGGGCTCATCGGCAGAGCCTTGCCATTTGCTAGTAAATGGAGCCAATCACTTCAAAAAATCTTTCCCCAATAAAGAAATCTGATTGAGATTTTAGTTCGAACACAAGAAATTCAAGAATGTTCCAAGAGTTTACCACGCATGCATTTTGTACTCACTGGTAATATTAAGTGATACGCTCTGATTACATGAGTTTCAGCAATTAAGCAAGCATCAAGTGAGGGGAAAACCAAATAGTGCTTTAAGCGATTAAACAACTACCGCTCCATATTTCTCCGGATTCCACTGCAGCAGAAAATGATATATGGCATCAACTTTCTCTCTCGGCACGGCGAACCAAAAGTCTTTGCGGGAACCATTCCTAACAATATCTTCATCAGAAGCTGATGAAAGCACACTGTTGGCCGTTGCTGACAGACCTAAACTAGCGCTAGCACTGTAATTAAAGTAAAAACATTTGCGCTCAACGGACTCTTTAAATTTCCTCTTGCATAAATTTCCCTCTAAAATTCCAAAAATTTTAGACTTCACATGCCTAGGTGACGTTTCTCTCTAAA